GGTGGCCTCCCCAGGTGGCCATGGGCTTCACCTCAYGGTGGTCTTGGGCTGGGCAGACATGACATGGTGGCTCAAGGCTCTGCAGGTGAGGCTTCAGCAGAAGTACACCACTTGCACTGTGYTTCGCACCTGGCCAAGGTGCCAGTGCTGAGAAGTCACACTGACTCAGCCGAAGCAACTACGACCCTCAGATTCAAGGGGAGGAAAATTAGACTGTCTGTCTAATGGGGGCATGGCAGGGTTCAGAAGAGCACACCCGTCAGGGGACACTGTCCTGCCATCTTCAGAAAATGCCATCTTCCATGTGTGCCTCCTCTGGAAAGGAAGATTTGTCATATGGCAGAGCAAGGAAGTTGGCCCAAGTTGGGGGTTTTCCTGAGAGTCTCCTGCAGTATGAAGGTATATGTGTCAGGAGTTCAAGGCTAACCTTGGCAACTTAGTGGGACCATGTCTGAAAATAAATAAACAAAACTAGAAGTGTAGCTCAGAGSTAAAGCCCCCTGGGTTCAATCTCCAGTACAAAAAATAAAAAAGTAAAAAGTTAGCTAACAGAGAATGTGTTGGGCACTGTTCTAAGGTCTCTATACATTAAATCATTTCATACTTACCTCTCTGAAATAGATGCTGTTATTATTTTAAATTTACAGATGAAGCACCTAAGGTTAAGTTACTTGTCAGGATCAGGTCACTACTGAAGGACACTAAAATGTAAACCCCAGTCACCCGATACCAGAGTCCAGGCGCTTCGTCATCAGACTATTTTTCCTCTCATGTATACAATTCATATCTTCATTCACTTGAGAAGCAGAAAGTCCTACCCATTGATGGATATTKATTTTTTTAACTGGTACTGAGGATTGAACTCAGAGGTGCTTTAACACCGAGCCACATCTCTGACCCTTTTTATTGAGACAAGGTCTTGCTTAGTTGCTGAGGGTGGTCTCGAACTGGTGATCCTCCTGCCTTAGCCTCCTGAGTTGCTGAAATTGTGACAGTATCACAAGAAGGCACCACCACACCTGGCTTGGAGATGAATTTCCAAATTGACATTTCACAGTGCAATTTTAGGGAAAATAAGTGATGAATTCTATTGATCTAAATATTCATGGTAAACCTCTTGGTGGCACACACCTATAATCCCAGCAGCTCGGGAGACTGAGACAAGAGGATCTCGAGTTCAAAGCCAGCCTCAGCAACTGCGAGGCCCTAAGCAACTCAGTGAGACCCTGTCTCTAAACAAAATACAAAATAGTGATGTGGYTCAGTGGTTGAGTGGCCCTGAGTTCAATCCTTGGTAGCCCCCACCCCCTGCCCCCGCCAAAAAAAAAAAAATGCATGGTATTCTATTTAATGCAGCTTTGAATAATTCAAGCAATCTGCAAATGTCCTTATCTTATTTACAGTGTGAGCAGYGAGAGGAGAGCAGAAGGTAAGATCGAGGACACAGAGGCCTGGCTGTTCAGTGTCAAATCTGGCTCCACCAAATCCAAGCAGTTTAATCCCAGGCAAAGTTCTCTCACCCTGGGGCTGTCTCCTCGTGTAAAGCRGGGCTATGTTTCTATCCTTGAGGACAGATGAGACAGAAAAGGAGCGCCTTGAACCACACAGGTGCAAAGTGCCCACTGGATGTGAATTATGATATTATAAGCTGGTGGCCRTGACCTTGCTCCTGGTGTGGAGCAGTGGTGACATCTAGTGGCCGACCAAATGGCTACGGCTGCACCAAGACCAACAGGTTCCACCAAGTTCAGCCACTTTCTGCAGGGCAGCACTCAGCCCTGCACCTTGCCCCAGACCCTCTCGTCCCTGAGTAGCCCTCCACACATGTCATCAGAATGATGGTCATGAATCCTGAGACTATGTCTCAGTCCCCCMCGGGAGGCAATCGCCTCATCCAGACCTCAGGACAGCTCTGCGAAGGCAGGACTTCCCACGTTGTCGGAGCGAGGCACCCCAGGCTGGGGGAGCTCTGTGACCTGCTCAGGGTCACCAGGCTGCGGAAGGGCTCTGGAGTGGGACTGCTCACCACGGTTCTGCCTTCTTTGCTGCTGCAGGACGGAGCCTGGGATCCCTGCCTGGGATCACCTGGGATCACCTGCCCTGTTGCAACAGCAGTTAGGGAGGAGGGGGGCCACAAAAGGACAGAAGCCCCTGCTGAGGCCTGCTCTGCATYGGATGGAAGACCATCCCAGTAGGCTAGGACCCCCAGGGAGCAGTGGCAAGAGGCCAGAGCCACCCGAACTCTCGAACTCTCGGGATGCCACCCACCAGTCAGATGCGTCAGAAGTTGCTCAGAAGGTTTATTCCACCACAGAAGTTCTGGGTCTTATCCCTCCATACACTTGGGGGGTCTGGGGGGACTTCCCTGGAAAAGGAAGACAAGTAGCAGCTTAGGTGCGTATTTTTAATTGTAAGAGTAATACATGGTGGGCTGGGGATGTGGMTCAAGCGGTAGCGCCCTCGCCTGGCATGCACGGGGCGCTGGGTTGGATCCTCAACACCACATAAAAATAAAAAATAAAGSTATTGTGTCCACCTAAAACTAAAAAATAAATATTAAAAAAAAGAGTAATACATGGTGCTCGGCGTGGTGGCACACAYGTGGAATCCCAGCCATTCGAGAGTCTGACGCATGAGGATCCCAAGTTCAAGGCCAGCCACAGCAACTTAGCAAGATCCTGAATCAAAATTAAAAATTAAAAGGGCTGGGGATGTGGCTCAGTGGTTAAGCAACCCTACATTCAATCCTGGGTACAAAAAAAAAAAAAAAAGTAGTACATGCTGGCTGTGTGCCGTGGCTCACATCTGCGATCCCAGCTACTCAGGAGGCCAAGGCAGAAGGAGGTTAAGATGGAGGCAAGCCTTAGCAAGACCCTGTCTCAAAATAAAAAATTAAAGGGCTGGGGATGTGGCTCAGTAGTAGAGYACCTGTCTAGCATGCATGAGGCACTGGGTTCCATTCCTGTATTGACATGGGAGAAGAGGTGTCTCCCAGAGAGAAGGGGGACCTCCACTCAAGACCTGGCATGACGGAAAAGAATTTTAGCATGTGCCAGTCAGAGCAAATAGAGATCTATTTAAGAAGGTAGAAACACATTCAAGCAAAAATGTGGCCATCTGGAGGGTGAAAGATGTGGTCTTGGGGTTCCCAGCTCTTCATTTAAAGAAAACTTAGTAAGAGGCAGGTCTGAGGGGTATGGMGAGGTATGTAGGAATGATAGCGGTCTGGTGGCCTCAGGGTGGTTTCTGTTGGGCTGGTCAATCTTGGACTCCCAGGCAGATGTGGTCTTCATTACCTGATCAGTAGATAGTACTGGAAAGTACCCTAAATTATAGGTTTYTCAAAATATTGTATCTCTCTTTRTTTATTGGGGCTTAATTAAAAGTGCCTAGGTAGGTATACATATTTTCCAGGAATATGGAAATAAACGGCTTGGAAGACAGACTGGCTTGGAAAGTGATAGGCCTCAGGGCTGGGGTTTGGCTCAGAGGTAGAGTGCATGCCTTGCATGCACGAGGCACTGGGTTTGATCCTCAGCACCACATAAATGTAAAATAAAGATATTGTGTCCACCTAAAACTTAAGAATTAAAAAAAAAAAAAAAAAAGAAAGTGACCGGCCTGGAAAAGTAGGTGGAATTTCTGAATTAAAATCTTACTTCCTTGTCCTTCCTTTACGTCTCCTTCCTACCTATTTTTTCTTATCCTACTTCAGTAAAACACACATGGAGTGTGGTGGAGGAAATGCTCATAGTGCAGATTAAATGTGACAACATGTTTGTTGTCTTACATTGTGAAGAGAACAAAAAATTAAAGTTCTCCTATTTGAGTATTGTTTGACTTAGCAAACTTCTTTGCTCACATCACTAAGGTATGAGTGAAGCCCTGAAACACGGAAGTTGGGAAGGAAGAAAGGTTGAAAGGAGTAAAGATTCAATCCTGGGTTTCACTCTATCACTTGCCTTTTTTTTTTTTTTTTTTTTTAATTGTTTTGTTTTCTTTTTGCTGAGCTGGGGATGGAACCCTGGGCCTTCCCCACGTTAGGCTCACGCTCTCCCACAGAGAGACATCTCCAGCCCTTTGAGGAATTTGAGACTGGGTCTCCCTAAATTGCTGAGGCTGGCCTTGAACTTGCCACCCTCCTGCTTCAGCCTCCAGAGTGTGATGCTTTGGAGGCATCAACACTGGCGACAGACTTGCTCCTTTGTGGATGGCGTGGGGTAAGCCGCTCACTCGCTGAATCGGTAGTGATTGTGCAGTGATTTGTGACACTATTGATGCTGACTGAACTGTAAACACTCATGGTGGATTTTGCAAGGTACACAAGGTTACGCGGGTACGAAGTTCAGAGTACTGCGGTTCGTAATTTGTTAATTGTGGGCCCATCCCTGCCTTTTGCTCGTACGATTTATTATACCGAACTCTGTACCAATATACACACGTTTTTGCGAAAAGCAGGGTATTAAGCACGTGCCGGGTCTTCAGTCAGGGTCTGTGGTGCAGGAGCGACCTCAGCAGTCACGTCCCCGCCGTGGCTGGGCCACCTTCCCCAAGAAGGGGGATGGAGCAGGCCGCCAAGACCCCTTCCCGGAGTCGCCGCCAGGGGGCGTGCGCAGGACAGAGAAAAGTTTCGCGCTTTGACCCCCGGCGCGGYCCGTCGCCCGTCGCTGCGGCGGGAAAAATCTGACCGGACCGTCTGGGCCACTGCCTCTTTCTGCCTTGGAGCGTCTTCCTGAGCTGGTCCGCGTGATGGAGGAGGAGGCGGAGGCCGAGGAGCAACAGCGATTCTCTTACCAGCAGGTACAGCATAAACCGGGGCCGGGCTGGGCAAGCACGGCGTCGAGCTCATGAAAGAGGAAAAGACCTCGAGGCCTCGTTTCACTTCTGGGGGTTCGCGCCCCAGTGGTCGGCTGCCGCTCGTATCTGCGCATGCGCCGGACTTGCCGGCGCGGGCGGTTCTGGGAGGCGGTTTCCGAGGTAATGCGGCTGGGACCCGCGCGGCGGCGCTCGACGGCGGATTCCCCGGGAGCGAGGCGCGCGCGGGGCTGGCTTCGGCTCAGAGCCGCAACCTCGCCTTGTCGTTCGCGGTCGGAGGCTGGGCGCCGGCGCTAATGGGAACCCGGGCAGGCGAGACTCAGACCAGGCCACCGCGTCAGGTGGACCTGGGCTCTGGTCTCGGCTCCCCGGCTCGCGTATGTGTGGACCTTGGCCCAAGCGCAGTGTGCTCTATGGCGAAATCCGAGTAGGGGTGATATCGAGCGTGCTGGCGTTCCTTTCAGCGGCACAGGGATTGCAGGGTGCAGAGTCATGAGAACATCACTGTCCCGGGAAGGGACCCTGAGTGGCACGACTGACCGAAGAAACGCGCGCTGGACGTTTCCTCCCTGTGTTCCTTCGCAGTGTCGCGTTTCCTCCGCCTTCTGCCCTCCCTCTTTTTTGCGTAACCATCAGAAAGGTTGCAAAAGTCGTGCCAGGAACACCCAGGTGACTCGTCTCCATTCATGGCTTGTTAGCATCTTGCTCTATTTGTGACCTTGCGCTGCGTCTTTTTTTTTTTTTTTTTTTTTAAGCTGACAGCAACCGGTATTCCCCTGTGGTCTCCCATCCCAAGCACTAACCAGGCCTGACCTGCTTACAGGACCGAAGAGCAATTGCCTAGCATGCCTGAGGCCCTGGGTTCAATCCCCAGAACTACGGGTTAGGGGAAAAGGCCCCATAATCGTTTTGTTCTGAATTATTTGAGAATAGTTACAGAGAGTCCCAGCCCCACCTTTAATTTTTTTTTAATATTATGTGTTTTTTTTATACATTTAATTTTATGTGGTGCCGAGGTTCTACCCAGTGCCTCACACATGCTAGGCAAGCGCTCTGCCACTGAACTATAACTCCAGCAACGGTCCTTTAAATATTAATAATTGAATACACATCTCACAGGAACAAGGTGTTCTCTTACATTATCTCAATAAATTATCACATTTAGGAAGTTCAATATTGATAAAATTCTGTTATCAAGCATCCAGTACATATTCCCATATCCCCCATATCCCCATTTGTTCCAAATATCGTGTGTGTGTGTGTGTGTGTGTGTGTGTGTGTGTGGTACTGAAGATTGAACCCCATAACACTGAGCTTCGTCCCCAGCCCTTCTTATTTTATGAGATTGGGTCTTTCTAAGGCTGACCTCCATCTTGGGATCCTCCTGTTTCAGTCTCCTGTCTCTGGGATCATAGACATGCACCATGTTTTTTCCTTACTGAACCCATTTTTTTTTTTTAAGCAAATGACAAAGACCCAGTTTACCAACTTTTTAAACCAAGGCTTAACATTACATATTTAAACAATTGCTAAAACTTAAAAGTTGTCTGCATTCATGCACAACTGGAAAACATCCTTAAATTTATATTAAACCAGAAATGTAATACCATTAGTGCATTAATATCTTTCACTATAAATACTTTAAAAAAACAAATTATATCTTTTTTTATTAATTTTTTAAATCTATATGACAGCAGAATGCATTACAATTCATATTACACATATAGAGCACAATTTTTCATATCTCTGATTATGTACAAAGTATATTCACACCAATTTATGACTTCATTCATGTACTTTGGATAATGAAGACCATTACATTCCACCATCATTTCTAACCCCCTGCCCCTTCCCTTTCCCTCCCACCCCTCTGCCCTACCTAGAGTTCGTCTCTTCCTCCCACGCTCCCCCTCCCTACCCCACTATGAATCAGCCTCCTTATAGAGAAAACATTTGGCATTCGGTTTTTTGGATTGGCTAACTTCACTTAGCATTGTCTTCTCCAACTCTATCCATTTACCTGCAAATGCCATGATTTTATTCTCTTTTATTGCTGAGTAATATTCCATTGTGTATATATGCCACATTTTTTTTATCCATTCATTATTGAAGGGCATCTAGGTTGGCTCCACAATTTAGCTGTTGTGAATTGTGCTGCTCTAAACATTGAGGTGACTGTGTCCCTATAGTTGCTTTTTTTTTTTTTTTTTTTTAAAGGGAGAGAGAGAGAATTTTTTTAATATTTATTTTTTAGTTTTCGGCGGACACAACATCTTTGTTTGTATGTGGTGCTGAGGATTGACCCCGGGCCGCATGCATGCCAAGCGAGCACGCTACTGCTTGAGCCACATCCCCAGCCTCCTATAGTTGCTTTTTTAAGTGGAATCATTTCTATGGGAGGTGTATCCTGGCAGTGTTAGCTCACTGCGGGCGGCAGTACTTGGCTCACGTGTCAGACACATGGAGAGCAGACCTGTGCTGGTGTTAGAATACCGTCTTGGCCTAGCAGTACTCAAAGCCAAGCTCACGTTGTGTTATATTTTATACAAAAGCAAAGTGCATATGGAAATTACAACAATTTTAAAGACAAAAAAAATGGTCCTATTGTGTGATCCCAAAAATAAACTCAAAGTCTATGACAAGTAGGAACTCCAATGAACTGTTTATAAATACTTTAGGCACAATTATACTGAAAGTCAAGTTTGTATAAATTTWAAAAAAAAATGTTCCTGTTAATCCTCAAATGGTGCTTGTTATAGTTTAACATTTCTGCTGAGTGCATGTGTTGAATTACTTGTTATCCAAGCATAGTAGCTGCTCCTTGCCATTTATCATAAGGACTTTTACTGGCCGTCTCAACTTCTACTCTTTCTTTACCTTCTCAATAATTCTCTTTGTAATGATTTTCATTACGTTACTAAATACTTAAAAACAAACTGAAATTATTTTTTGCCACTACTATGATTTCAGTAGAAGTTGCTATAGATTTGAAGTTGCCCATCCTACTGCCACCAAATCATGTAGAAGAAAATGTAATGAGGCCACTGTGACCTAGTGACCCAATGAAGAAAATCCACCTCGAAATGATGGAAATCCACTGAAAGCGAGAAAAACAAGCCTGCACCTTGGTTTCTGCTTCCTTGGGGACCCCTTTGATTCCCAAAAAAGTCTTCAAATGGGTCCTCAAAGAAGTCAAATGAAAATGGGTCCCTTCCACCAAAAAATTCCCTGCAGATATCATCTGGGTTCCGGACTGTCAAAATGACTTCCACCTCCTCCTTTAGCAGTTAATCCTCCTTTGCCATGCTTGTSATAGATGTCCTGCTTTTTAGCATCTGATAACATCTCATGTGCCTTGGCTACTTGTTTGAGTTTTCTCTGTGCTGCTGCTTTATTCTGAGGATTTGTATCTGGATGCCACTTTAGTGCCTGTTTCTGATATGCCTTTTTGATATCTTCGGGTGAGGCATGCCTCTGCATGCCTAGAACTTCATATAATTTACCATGTTTTGGGGCTGGGGATGTGGCTCAAGTGGTAGCGCGCTTGCCTGGCATGCGTGCGGCCCGGGTTCGATCCTCAGCACCACATACCAACAAGAATGTTGTGACCGCCGAGAACTAGAAAATAAATATTGAAAATTCTCTCTCTCTCTCTCTCTCTCTCCCCCATCTCTCTTTAAAAAAAAAAAATCTATTAAAAAAATAATAATTTACCATGTTTTAACTGATTATTAGAACAAGTCCCAGGACGGTGTGGTGGGCAGGACAGGTCTGGCAGGGCTGTGCTGGTGGCAGCAGCAGCAGTGGCTTCTTTGCCATTTTCTCTTTCTCCTTTATCATTTTCTTTTTCTCCTTTATCTGACAACAAACTGGACTTGTGCTTTTGCAGTTCCTTTTCATTTGCATGTACAGTGAATACTTGCTGGTGGATAGTGCTCTCTTGGGTTCAGCTGTCCCCAAGTCCACTTCATCTGTGTCTTCAGCAGAGATAGATAACTCACAGATAGGCTTACAAAAGTTTGTTGACTTCATCCCAGGCCATTGCTAAGCTTGTTTTGCTCTGCTTTGAGGTTTTTCTTGGTACTTTATTCCTCTGCATGAGGAAGGAATAGTTTTCGTTGTCTTCAAGGGTTGCTGAGGGCTGGGGTGTGTAGCTCAGTGGTAGAGCTCTTGTCCATGCATGAGGCTCTGGGTTTGTTCCCTAGAACTGCAAAAAAAAAAAAAAAAAAAAAGTGTGTGGAGGTAATTTGCAAAGGAACGTGAAGGCTGTTGAGGTGGTACAAACCTGCTAATCAAAAGAGGGTCAGATGTGCCCTTACCTGTCTTTCCCCGTGTTCTCTACTTTTATCCTGTTTCATATAGGCCTAGCTCTGCCAGGGACTTGAAGCAGAGGCATGATTTCCTTCTGTCTTTACTCAATTAACTGCCTAAAGGGCATAGTCTCTGACTTGGTTTGTCATTGTGTTTCTCAATATGTAGCAAGTAAATGGCTGGTAGTTGTGGAATAACTGAGGGAAGGTTTGCTGATACTTGGCAAGTACCAGTCTGACATCTCCTACTGATCTGCTGTCGTAATTCCTTATTTTTACGTGACATAAGTCATTACAATAGCTGAAAGTAATGTTTCTACAAGTCATACTCCAGAAGATCTCATTAATTGATTAGGACACGTGAAGAGTCACTCAACCATTATGGAAAGTGCTGAAGAAATTAGGCTGAGCAGATCTTTTTGGTCTTATTTATTTATTTATTTATTTTTGGTACCAGGGATTGAACCCAGTAGTACTTAACCACTGAGTCACATCTCCAGCCCATTTTTGTATTTTATTTAGAGATAGGATCTCACGGAGTTGTTTAGGGCCTTGCTAAGTTGCTAAGGCTGGTTTTGAACTCATCATCCACCTGTCTCAGCCTCCCGAGCTGCTGGGATTACAGATGTGTGTCAGTACACCCAGCTTATTTATTGTTTATTATTATTTTTACTTTTTTGGTACTTGGGATTGAACCCAGGGTGCTCTACACTGAGCTATGTCCCCAGACCTTTATTTTTTATTTTGAGGCAGAGTCTTGCTAAGTTGCTGAGGCTGGTCTTGAACTKTTTGATCATCTTACCTCACCCTCGAAAGTAGCTGGGATTGTAGGCATATACCACTGCACCCGGATGGTCTTTTTTTTTTTTTTAATATTTATCTTTTAGTTGTAGTTGGACACAATACCTTTATTTTATTTTATTTTTTTGAGAGAGAGGAGGGGGAGAGAGAGAGAGAGAGARAAATTTTTTTAATATTTATTTTTTAGTTTTTGGCGGACACATCTTTGTATGTGGTGCTGAGGATCGAACCCGGCTGCACGCATGCCAGGCGAGCGCGCTACCGCTTGAGCCACATCCCCAGCCCAACAATACCTTTATTTTATTTATTTATATGTGGTGCTGAGGATCAAACCCAGGGCTTTGCACGTGCTGGGTGAACCCTCTATCACTGAGCCACAACCTCAGTCCCGGCCCAGCTGGTCTTAATTCTTAAAGGTGTGGAAAGCTCTTATTTGTAAACTTATCCCCCCTCCCCTGCAAAGTATTTTGACTTTTTTTTTTTTTTTTCTCCAGAGGCTAAAAGCTGCTGTTCACTACACGGTGGGTTGTCTTTGTGAGGAAGTCACCTCGGACAAAGAGATGCAGTTCAGCAAACAAACCATTGCAGCAATTTCAGAGTTAACTTTTCGACAGTGCGGTATGAAGCCAGGGTCTTCCTCTCTGTGTCTATCTATCCCGTAGGTTGGTCTGCCTGGGAGCAGTGTGCGGGTGGGACTGTGGTGTCTCTTACCCACACACGGAGGATGTCATCATTGTCACACTCTTCATGAAAAACTTTTCCTGGCTGTGAGATTTGGACATTTTATGGGAAGAACTGTTAGAGTTTTTTTCCTATTGCACCAACACTAAGGTATTAACACCTTTTTTATTATCTTTTAAACTGCCCTGATGGCTAGAACATTAGACGTTAAATTTTTTATTTCAATGCTTTATAACATTTTTATATCACGTGTTTTGACAGCTGAATTTGTGGTATTGGTACTTCCTTAACTTTAGAGGAAATTAGTGCCCTCACAAGCCCTAACCTGTTGCAGAATTTAATATTAGAGTATAGTTCCTATAGTTTCTAGAAACTAAAGGTGGAGTCATAATTAATGGAAAGCTTATAATAAAGGGTGGAGGGTGTGAGAAGGATAGGGAGGTTATCATGATTAAAAAAGCTAAGGGCAGTGGGGCTGGGATTGTGGCTCAGTAGTAGAGCTGCTTGCCTAGCAGGCTCGGGGCCCTGGGTTCGATCCTCATAAAAATAAGTGAATAAAATAAAGGTATTGGGTCCAACTACAACTAAAATAAATAAATAAATAAAAGTTAAGGGCTGTTACCAAATGATGAGGCTGCCTGAAATGCCTCCACTCCCCTTTAAAAGTGTTAATCACTGGCAGTACGGTGCAGCATCCACATCCCCCTTCTCCTGAAATGAGACTGTGCTCAGGGTGGTTAAAGTGTATCCCTTTTTTTCTCTTTCAGAAAATTTTGCCAAAGACCTGGAAATGTTTGCCAGGTGGGTCGAGAGCTTGCTGATGTAGTGCTGCTTGCTTATATTCTGCTGATGCTCTCCATCCGGGGTGTGTGTGTATGTGTGTGTCAGGAGAGCTTTGGCTTGTTGTGTTTTAGAACTTTGTAGATGCTTCGTCTCTAATCATGATTCTGCAAGAATATAGCATCTGCTTTAATCATTCCGATTCAGACTTGGCATCTTTGGAAGTTCTCCAAGTATTTTCTGGTAAAAAACCTAAGTTACTCATTTCCAGGTTGAAAAGGCCTGAGTGATATCTCCAGGACTCTGAATGTGCTGGTGTCTATTTTAAGAACCACGCTTTGAGGATGGTTTGATTGCTCTGTGTCTGAGTGTGGGCTGTCTGCCCTCTGAGGGGGCCCATTGGGTTCCACTGCAGTGATTGCTCGCAGGTGTATGGATAGTGATGGACAACAGAGGCTTTTGTTTGCTACCAAATGAGTAAGACATGCTCTGTGGAAAGGGGCGATTTGCTTTCAGGTGGTAAAGCTTGAGCTTTTACAAGTGATTTATGTTCATCTCTTCAATTAGTACCTCAGGTAATTGAAAACAATCGCAAGAAATTGCTTTTGTGCAACAGCTGGAATGACTAAGGCATGGAAGGCTGAAGCTTTCTCGCTATCACTTCTGAGCTGGTACCAGTGCCTCCCATGCCCACCCTGTTCACCTTGCTCCTATTAGCTCTTTGTTTCTGGAATGAATATTTTGAATGAATTAAAGCACTAGGTTCTCAGAGGGCAGGTTCTAAATTTTTCCTACTCCTATATATATTAGTCCCTAAAAACTGCTTAGTATTGTCAATTTGGCCAAGAGGGATATTATGGGATATCCATAGTTTAAATGGCTTGTTCGTTTTTCACTTGGGCTGCCCCTGTGTGGCCTTCCACATTAAGTACATTTATCACCTTTGTTTCCCATTTTTGTGTTAGATGTGGAAAAAGACAAGGAAAATTTTGAAATACTTTTTGTAAAAATTCTAGAAAGAAAAATGCATTTAGGAGCTGAGGGTATAGCTCAGTGAAAGAGTGTGTGCTCTGCATGTGGGAGGCCCTGGGTTCCATCGCCATCAAAAATAAAAAAGGTGGGCTGGGGATGTGGCTCAAGCGGTATCGCTCTCGCCTGGCATGTGTGGGGCACTGGGTTTGATCCTCAGCACCACATAAAAATAAAATAAAGATGTTGTGTCCACTGAAAACTAAAAACTAAATATTAAAAAAATTCTCTCTCTCTTTAAAAAATAAAATAAAAAAGGTGGTGGTGGAAGAAATTAGAAATATTTAGCATAGCAACATATTAAGTTTTCTATTTTGTGTTTTTCATAATTTCATGAAAGGTTAATCTGCTGCTGCATCCTATGGGGAAGTGGTATGTGTGAGACTTAAGACCGGAGCTCTAGAAGGCAGGAGCTCACAGCTTACATAAAAATCTTTTCAGTGGGCTGGGGCTATAGCTCAGTTGACTGAGTGCTTGACTTGCATGTACAAGGCCCCTGGGTTCAATCCCCAGCACCAAAAACAAAAAATGTTTAATGAGAGGGCTTCTGAAAAGGCTCTCAGCAGCTCTTCTCTGAATCCTACTGTTAGAGGCTCTCCTCACTTCATTGTCACCTGTGTGTTCCCAAGCTCCCCCAGACTTTTCCTTAGAGCCAGAGCCATGCAGAACCCAGCAAGCTGGCCTGGCGTGGGTATGCATCCCTTCTACCTGGTACAGTCCACAAGTGCAGATTTTCTTTGAAGACTCATTCTTTATCTGAATTTTACCTTTTTGTGATATTCCAGCTTGCTTTCATGTAAAAAATTATTCTTTTAAAGCTTATTGCTGAATAAGACTGATGTTCTGAAAATGTCACTTGTTTTTCTTGGAGCTGTGTGTATTCTCTGTCACAGTCTATAATCCCAGGGTTATAATGGCCCCTGTTTGAGAAATCTAACTATAAAAAAAAAAAGAGAAATCTAACTATGTATTTCAGGCCAGCTGTATTTTAAACAGTTTTTGTAGACTGGTCTGGGAACCTAATCAGCATTTATAACATTTTGATGAAAAAATGCATTTACATTCTAAATAACTAATTTACCTGCAAGCTTGGCAAAACCATTTCCCAGTTTACATTGTAAGTTTCCTTTATTTAGTTTGGAATTTTTAGTCTTCTCATATTTTTTTTTTTTTAAGAGAGAGAGAGAGAGAGAATTTTAATATTTATTTTAGTTCTCGGCGGACACAACATCTTTGTTGGTATGTGGTGCTGAGGATCGAACCCGGGCCGCACGCATGCCAGGCGAGCGCGCTACCGCTTGAGCCACATCCCCAGCCCGAGGGAGAGAATTTTAATATTTATTTTTTAGTTCTCGGCGGACACAACATCTTTGTTGGTATGTGGTGCTGAGGATCGAACCCGGGCCGCACGCATGCCAGGCGAGCGCGCTACCGCTTGAGCCACATCCCCAGCCCGAGGGAGAGAATTTTAATATTTATTTTTTAGTTCTCGGTAGACACAGCATCTTTGTATGTGGTGCTCAGGATCAAACCTGAGCCGAACGTATGCCAGGCGAGCTCACTACCACTTGAGCCACATCCCCAGCCCTTCTCATATTGTTAATATGTTCACATTCAAAACTTTTAAGGTAGATATTCTATAGTAAATAAATTCTGGGAATCTTTTTGAAATAGTTTTTAGAACATGAACCTGTGTTGCTTAGAGTATTATATGAAAGATTGATGGGCTGGGGGTTTAGGTCAGTGGTAGAGCACTTTCCTAGCATGCTTGAGGCCCTGGGTTTCACCCCCAATACTGCAAAAGGGAAAGAAAAGAAAGGAAAGAAAAATTGCTGTTATTTTCCCTGGAGTAATTTTCGGGAGTCAGAGGTTTGTCTTAGGAGAGTCTGATGTTTTGTGGTTGGTGTGGGATTTACCTGTTCCTCCATGTAGGAGAGAATTAACTTTAAAATCTGGTGCAAATACCAGACACCACACCAAGAGTTAGGATTTAGTTTGTTGTTTCCCCAGAACTTCCTTGTGAATAGATAAGGTCACTCTGTAGAATGGTGTGCATATTCCATTCACTTATTTCTTTTTTTAAAATATTTATTTATTTAATTATGTATCTTTAGTTTTTTTAGGTGGATATATTAGTTTGTTTTTATGTGGTGCTGAGGATCAAACCCAGTGCCTCATGCATGCTAGGCGAGCACTCTACCACTAAGCCACCACCCCAGCCCCATCACTTATTTCTTTCATTGCACTTTAAGTAAACACAGATAAGAGCGGTCCAATGGTGTGACTAAGACTGGGCCCTACTGTGTACTTGGTACTCCAGTGAGGCTGTCTGTAGTCAGGCCTCATACTTTGTGGCTGCCTTTATATCTCCTTCTGTTTGTCCTGCTCCTTGCAGGTTGCTGATTTGTACTTATCTCCCCGCCTCCTATGTACTGGGGATTGAACCCAGGACATTCTACCACTGAGTTACATCCCCAGCCCTTTTAAAATTTTGTTTGTAGTCAAGGTCTGGTTGTGTTGTCTAGGCTGGCCTTTTGCCTTGGCCTCCTAGGTACTTAGGATTGTATGTGTTCGCCACTGCATTCAGCTAGAAGTTCCCTCTTAAAACGGGTATTATCTCATGACAAGCAGATATTGTCATTCATGTAGAAATGACATGTGATACTGTACATTTAGCGGGAGATAATTTCTGTGTGATTTTATCTTTAACTCAGCAGTTATTCAGTGAGGACTAATATGTGCTGACCACTTTGCTAGTTATTAAGGATACATTGATTCTTACTTATTCCTGATTACAAAGTTCTTATTTATTTTGAGCAAAAGTTAATAATGGCAAGAAAGGATTAATCAGAGTAATAAATTATTGAATAGAGCTCATTATCTGAAATTATCTTTCATAGCAAGGATAAGAGGACTGGAATGAGACTTTGGGTCCAAGCTGTGAGCAAGAAACAGACTTCAGCTTAAAGGATGTTCTTTGTTCTGCTGAGGCTGCTGTGGAGGCGAGGCAGAAACAGTTGCCAGAGACGGGTGCTGGGAGGCATCTGCATATGCTTTTTCCTGTCATTTATCCCTTGGAAAAGAGCTTTGGGATCTTGCTATAAGTAAAGCCACTCTTCATGGAAATTCTCTTGCTCTTCTATTTAATGTGTATTTAAGCAGAAGCTCTCTTTGTATTTTGAGGCTTATTTTCTCTAAAGTTGTACACTGACATTTCTCTTGCTCTTTCTGTGATATTCACTGTGATCACGCAAGACACTTTGGAAGGATTTTTAACTCCTCCATCTCCTTCTGCATCTCTGGCCCCTGTGGCCCTTGGGCAAGGTGAACAGTTGGGTTTCTGCCTTCTCTGGGTCTTCTTGGGTCTAATTGGTGTCTTGCTAGTAACCTACTCATTTTATTTTATTTTTTTATTTTTATTTTTTTTAAAGAGAGAGTGAGAGAGGGGAGAGAGAGAGAGAATTTTTAATATTTATTTTTCAGTTCTCGGCGGACACAACATCTTTGTTGGTATGTGGTGCTGAGGATCGAACCCGGGTCGCACGCATACCAGGCGAGCGCGCTACCACTTGAGCCACATCCCCAGCCCGTAACCTACTCATTTTAAATGTTACTGTTGCTCAATGACCACTATCTAACAAGATGATTACTTAGGGGTACTGGCTAGTTTGAAGTCTGACCATGAGTTAGGATTGAAGTTAGGATTAAAGTTCATCAGAACCTTAAATAGCAAACATTTTGGTGACTTGTTTCTGCCCTTTCCATAGACATGCAAAAAGAAGCACAATTAACACTGAGGACGTGAAGCTCTTAGCCAGGAGGAGTAATTCACTGGTGAGAGATGAATTTCTTTGCTCATTCCCCTTTCCCATCAGAATACATTATTCCCAATTAATCACTTGAAGCCATGAAGTTAATCCCTAGGGCACCTTGCATTAAAAACTAGAGATGGTTGAACTATGCAGACCTGCCTGAAATTTATGATCTTTCTTTCATGATGATGAATCTTATGAAGCCAATTTGAAATTTTCTAATCAGCACTCTCTGAATTTCATAATTTGCCCTTTTTGTAATCTCTCAAAACTTTGGTTCCATGTTTCATTTACAGCATGATGTCAGAGACTGGTCACAGGCTAATCTGTGGGGAGGGTTCTTTACAGTACCCATAGTTCTCCTCACAGGCAAGGTGTGGAAGAGTATCTATGAGGCTGAATGTGCAGGAAAAAGCATTTTCTCTCTCTTCTTTTTCTTTCATTTTTCTTTTGGTGGGGTAGCGCAGTGTGGGGAGGAGTATTGGGAAATCAGGCCAGGAGTGGTTTACTACTGAGCTATCTTTATTTTTTATTTCAAGACAGGGTCTCACTAAGTTGCTTATGGCCTTGTTGAGTTACCCAGGCTGGCCTTGAATTTGCAGTTCTCCTGCTTCAGCCTCCCAAGTAACTGAGATCACAGGCTGTACCACCGCATCTGGTGACATTTTTTATCTTTTCAAGTCTAGAAATTATTTTGACTAAACTTTCATTTTTCAGGTAAAGACAGAGATGCTATGATCATCCCAGGCTAGTGGCTGTGACTGATAGCAGACCCAGGACACCAGGAGGTGTCCTAAGTCCAATGCTAGCAATTAATACACTGATGGCCCCTCAATAATGTGGTCTCCACAAGGACAGGGTTTTTTTTGCTTTTGTTCTCAGCTCCATTAACACTACTTCTAGAACAGTGCCTGCCAAAAAAGAGGTGCTCAATAAATAGTTGTTCATGAATTAATCTGTGTAGTATTTTACTTAAACTCCTGCCTCAGCCTTCTGAATAGCTAAAACTATGGGCACACACCACCACACTCCGCCTGGGTGGGTTTTTAATAAAATATATCTTATTAGTCCCACTTTATAGGCTTGGCAACTGAAGTTCAGTAACTCCCCAAAGTTAAATAGGAAGTTTTGTGGTTRAAGGCTGAAGCTTAACCTTCTGGTCCTCAATCCAGTGCTGTTTTCTTCATCTTATCTTTTCTACTCTCCTCCCTTAATATCCTTTCTCCAAAGTTTAAGTCAAGATTAAGGATGTGGCATTGGGCAGACATTCTTCTCTTTGTAACTTCTGCACAGTTATAATTTATTTGGTCTCCTTTAGTTATCAATTTCTGTTGCAAAGGGATGATCATTCACCTCATCTAGGAATATTAATTGGGAAGTCATCTCCTTGTATGTTTGTTTACTTCATAATATTGTTTTTATTTTGAACTCTTTTAATTTTTTTTCACCCAATACACCTTATTACAGAGGAGTATAGCTAAATTTGTGCATTAGACCAAGTCCTCCGAGAGCAGGAGGAACTTTTCTTATTTATCTTGTATCCCTAGTACTTGCAACATATCAGTTGCCCAATAAACTTTAGTTGGATAAATTTAAGGGGTGTTGATTATACTCGAGCTTTGTTTTTTGTAGTGTTGAGGATGGAAACCCCTTTTGCCTTATGAATGCTAAGCAAACACTTTGCCACTGAGCTCCTCCCCAGCCTTCCACTTTTACTTTATGTAGTAAATTTCTACAAACTTCATTTTTTTTTTTCAACTGGGGCCTTCCACATGCAAACTTCCCATTTTAAATTTTTTCGATTATTCAAGGAACTCTTACACTGAAATATACTGTTTGGAAGATATGTGGATAGCACTCAGTTGATTTTTATAGTTGATTCCTTTTTCTAGAAAAAAGTTTTGAAGCTGCCTTTAACTCTAAGAGGTGTAACCCAGGCTTTTCTACCCAAATTCTCTGGATGTGAGTGGTTGGGGACGGTGTGGCTGTTATTTCTAGGTTTAATGATTTACAAGCAGATAAAGTATTTTTTTTTTTTTTTGTAGCTAAAATACATCACAGAGAAAAATGATGAGATTGCTCAGTTTAACCTGGAACGGAAGGCAAAGAAGAAAAACAAGTCAGAGGATGTTAACAAAAGCTCAAGGGAAACAGTAGAAGCTGAAGCAGCGGACAGTGAGGACTGAGCTCTCACCACTGAGGCAGCCCTCTGCAGGTAGAGCCTCTGGGAGTGTCTGTTGCCTCAAAGAGAATTTTGAAGTGATAAGTAGAGATTTAAAAGAAAAAAAGGCTAGGCAGCTTTGTGTGCTGAATCTCCAAGCCATTAACTGCAGAAGCTAGTTTAAAAGACACCCAGAAAGTCCAGCAAATACTCCTGTGTATTCCTCAAGCACAACAAGAAGGCATGTGTATGAATGGTATATCCTGGGACTTACACACACTATGGCTAATAAAATTGTGTGAGCAAGTAAGCATGATAGCCTTTTTCAAACAGAAATCATAGTTATTTTTCATTCTTTTACGTAATTTTCTTAGCCAGAAGGCAATCTCTGAAAGATGAATAAAGCTGTACTTATGTAGCTGTCTGATTACCAGTATTTTTAAATCCATGCCACTGTGATCACAGATAAAAAGATGATGTTTTGGAATGCTTCTTTTTGCTTTTTAAAGGTAATTTTCTCCAGAAACACAGTCCACATGACTTTTCTCTGGCTATTTTGTAAGTCAACTGTGGTTCTACTGTGTAGAAATTTTGCTTAAGTGGAAGATCTGGAGCTACCACTGCAAAACATTTCAGGATATTGTCCTCCGTTTTAGTTTTTGAGAGATTATGTTGCCAAGGGTACCAGTTCTACTGTCTTTTCATGTTTTTGGGTTCTTAGAGGTCCAGGACCAGCCTTTCCCTTATGGGGCAATAGAGATTGCACATACAGAATGTTCTCAACACAATGTCTCAACACAGTGTCTCTTTGGATCTTTACAACTTTATGACTGTCCCTTTTTATTGATAAGCTGAGTCTTGGCACAGTTAACCAGCTGCCCAGGATTACCAGGTTGTTTATCAATAGAGATGGAATTTGCATTTAGGGCTGTTGACTCTCTTGTGGGAAAGAGTGAAAGGGCATGCACTTTGGGTAGAATTTATACCATCCATGCCTCCAATAGCAGCAAAAGATACCCCCACAGTCTGACCCAAGGGAAGTGCTGGCCATGGTCAGGGTCAAGCACTGACCTTACACTTAATGGTTTCAGGTTCTGCAAAGAACCAATCATTTGAGCCCATATGTTAATTGTAACATCTGGATGTCACATCAATGACAGAAAAGTGAATCATAAGGCCTTCCATTGTTCACATACATTCAGCCAAAGATCTGCATGAAAAAGTTGTATTTGCAGATAAACTGTCTTTAAATATCTCCTCAAAAAAAGTGTAGGGTGTGGGCACTATGTACTTCCCAAAGATTGATAAAACTAGGTCTGCCATCTTGGTTCAGCAACCCTAATAGCTGTGTTACTTTCTGAAACTTTGTGTTTTTATCAGTGAAATAGGGTTAAAAATACCTTATAACAAGATTGTGTGTGATAATAAAAGGAAATAGGTAGGACTCTTATAACAGTGTATTTGTAAATTTCTATAGCTGCCGAGTCTCATTCTGCATGTGACTGAAAATGGTGAGCCTGTGTGTGCAGTCATGTCTGGTCTGATTAGAGGCATGTAGAGGACACCTACTGTGTGGCAGGAGTATTTTGACATATTTTCAAACCAGATTAGAAAACTGACTTGACATTCATGTGGTCTTTTGGTTTATGTGGCACATTTATTCGTGATCTATTTCTACTTTAGACAAATGGTCTTACAACATATTTTTCAGGGATGCCACATAGGGGCAGGCCAGACTTGGTAGGAAGTAGTTGACTTGGCTCCCCATGTTCTCTGAAGCTGCCTATTCCCTGCACATTCCAGTTAGGGTTTAGTTTATTCTGGAAGGTCCAAGGTATGTTGATCATCCTCTAGGATTCTATCTTGGTGACAGAGGGTGAAAAAGGACTCGTAGGGGCTACTTCCTCATGGGCTTGCTCCTGGAAACTCATCTGAACTTTCATTAGACCAACCATGTGAAGAGGCTGATGTCTGAAAAAAATGTGGCCTGGAAACACAAGGCAGTTTACATTTAACGTAGTTGTTGTCCTACTTAGACCAATTCCTCAAAAAGCTTGAAATAAACAATCCTGAGCTAATTTTTTATTAATGACATTAACAGGAGCCATGAAGGGTTGGAAATATCTCCTTGTGCAGAGAAAGCTCTGTGCCAGGTTGTAGATGGCTGATATCTTTTTTTTTTTTTTTTTTTTTTTTGATAGTAGGGATTTTAACCCAGGGGTGATTAACCACTGAGCTACATCACCAGTCCTTTTTATTTTTTATTTTGAGACAAAGTCTCCCCGAGTTGCTCAGAGCCTCGCTAAGTAGCTGGGGCTGGCCTTGAACTTGTGATCTTTCTGCCTCAGCCTCCCAAGTCACTGGGATTACAGGTATGTGCCACCATGCCCACTTTTTAAAGAAAAAAAAAATTTAGTTGTACATGGACACAATACCTTTATTTTATTTATTCATTTTTATGTGGTGCTGAGAATTGAACCCAGTGCCTCCAAGCACTCTACCACTGAGCCACAACCCCAGCCCCTATGCCCAGCTTGTTGTCTGATATCTTTTTTATTTTTATTTTTTGATTCTAATTTGTTATATGATGGCTGATATCTTAAAACTTAGATATCTAAGAAAAGTTTATCAAGCCAAGTGTGGCGGCGCATGCCTGTAATCCCAGCAGCTTGGGAGGCTGAGGAAGGAGTATTGCGAGCTCAAAGCCAGCCTCAGCAAAAGTGAGGTGCCAAGTGACTCAGTGAGACCCTGTCTCTAAATAAAATATAATAGGGCTGGGGATGTGGCTCAGTGACTGAGTGTCCCTGAGTTCAATCCCAGGAACCCCCAAATGAAAGGCTCATTGGGTCATGCTGATGCCCTTTGCTGAATTAGGAGATCTCTGGAGAACCTCAGAGGAAGGTTAGTCCATCTCCCCACTAATGCAGGAACCAGTCTATAGCATTCCTGCTGCACCTGCTTGAACACCTCTAAGGACAGAGCTCTTTCCATTATGGATTTGAAGTTTATAAGTTTCTCTTATAAACTTCAAGTCTACTAATGGAAAGAGAAGACTTGATCTTCAAACTTCAATCTGTGTCCTAGTTCTATCCATTAGGATAAGCAGTCCTATTTTTTGTAGTAGTTCAGAACTGAGCTCCTTTTCATCAAAGTTCCCATTGTTCATCTTTTCAGAAACATGTCCTTGTATAAAACATTAGACTAAGAGCTCCAGGAGGGTGGGCCTTGAGGTGGTGAATAGTGGTCACTCAGTGCTTTGTGTGGTGCCTAGCACGTGATAGGTACCCCATGAATACTCGCTGCCATGGTCTAATGAGCAGAAGCCTTTGTGTAGGTTATGTGGCTCTAATCAGGGGTTTCCAATAGTGCTGTGGTTGGATCTTGACTATCCCACCTTTAGAGCTTTTTTGGTCTTTGACCTCAGGGTGACATTGTTTGAGAGGTGGTTGAGCCTTTGGAGCCTAGTAGGAGGTCCTTAGGTCATTGAGGGGTGTGGCCTCAAGGCAGATTATGAGACCCTGGCTCCTTCCTCTTTGCTCACTGACTCATAATGTAAACAATTTTACTCTGCCAAGTCCTCCTGCCATGATATGGCTGCAGTGCCACAGGCCCTTAACAATGGGAACAGTCATTTATGGACTGGTACTTCCAAAACTGTGAGCTAAAATAAACCTTTTCTGTTTATAAGCTAATTATCTCAAGTATTTTGTTTTATTGACAGAAAGGTGTTGAATGCAAACATTTTGTAGTGAGGAGCTCGCCTTGGTATGGGAGGGAAGTATGTGATTATGTGTGTTTTAGTGAGAATTCCTCACATTGAGTACCTGCTTTGTGTTCTGCTTGTGGTAGTTGCTTATATGGTCTCATTTGATCCTCATAACTTTGAGGAAGTGGWTAGTTGACATTGTTTTAGCTCCACTTTGTATATGAGGAAACTGAGGCTACAGATAGGTTAATCCAGTGATAATTCAGTATTGTAGTCTTGAACCCTATGAAGTCCTAAGATATGGACTTTTTTTGTGTGTGTGGTGAGAAGGTACCAGGGATTGAACTTCCCCAGCCCTATTTTGTATTTTATTTAGACACAGGGTCTCGTTGAGTTGCTTAGGGCCATGCTAGGGTTGCTGAGGCTGGCTTTGAACTTGAGATTCACCTGCCTCAGCGTCCTGGGCTGCTGGGATTACAGGTGTTTGCCACCTTACCTACCTATTGCCACCTCTTGAAAACAGCCAGTGATAAGCTATCAGAGCATAACTTCTCATCCCCCCAGAAGTTTTCTTATCTTTCATATGCCCCCAGGTTGTTATAGCTCTGTCAGGGAGGAGGTGGCATGGGTCCTTGTGTACTTGTGTTCTGTGAACAGGGCAGGGGATGTAGCTCAGTGGTGAAACACCTTCAGGTCAATCCCCAGTGCCCACTGCTGTTCTCCAAAGTGAGTTCTTTGTACAGGCTAAGTGCCCAGAATGTTTAATGTGTTCATTGAATAAAATATACAAACTATACTTATCATATAAGAATATACTAATCATATTCATGGCTCAGCTGCCATGAATTTCCCTCTGCAAGAATACCTCAAAAATTTTTTTTAATTTTTTTTTTTAGTTGTAGATGAACACAATACCTTTATTTTTATGTGTTGCTGAGGATCGAACTCAGTGCCTCAAACATGTGAGGCAAGCGATTTACTGCTGAGCCTCAACCCCAGCCCCCCAAATTTTTTTTTTAATTTTGAAACAGGGTCTCACTAAGTTGCCCAGGCTGGCCTCGAACTCACAATCCTCCCATGTTAGCCTCACAAGTGACTGGGATTATAGCCATGTACCACTGCGCCCAGCTGGATAATTTAAAAATTTGTTGAGATTATTTTAGGTAAAAAAAAATATTTTGGTATAGAAATAAAGAACTAAACATACAGTGTAAAGCTGCAGGTCATCAGGGCATGCTAGTTCTACCTAGAATGTTACCATAATTGCGCAGGGGCTGGAGGTGGGACTCAGTAGTAGAGCACTTGCTTATTACCACATGTGAGGCCCTGGGTTTGAGTCCCAGGACTCCAAAAAGAATTTAAAAAAAAAAAAATCAAACTGTGATAAATTCAAGATTGAGATTTTCCTTGTTTAAAAGGGTGTTGGGCTGGGGTTGTGGCTCAGCGATAGAGTGTTCGAGGCCCTGGGTTCGATCCTCAGCACCACATAAAAATAAATAAATAAAAGGGTGTGAATCAGGACTTTAGAAAAACTGAAAATGCCCATGTTGACTTCTGGAAAGAGCTTTCAGTTCTTGCTTCTTTGCTTCAGTTGAGAGCCTGCCATGGATGCTGCCCTATCAGGAAGGTCTGGGGTAGGGTTTCAGATCTCTTAGCTGTCTCAGTTGGGTGAAGGGATCCATGCATTTGTCTGTGTGTCTGAAACTACAACCCTGAAGAGAAGCCAGGAGGTGGCAGAGAAGGACTTTGCTTCCAGGCATTGGTATTGTCCTTGGGAGCAGGGTGGTCCTGGGAGCTGGCCAAGTACATTTTGGCATACATAGTTTCTCCAACGTGTCTGTGACCTACAGAAAGGTGCCTTACGTATGACACATCCACACAATGTGAAATGATATTTGACTTTATGTGAAGCACTCTCATTTCTGTTTCCTTAAAAAAAAAAAAAAAAAATCCCAGCAGTTTGGGAGGCAATTCCTAAGGCAGAAGGATCATAAGTTCAAGGTTCACAAGGCCAGCCTCAGCAACTTAGAGGGGCCCCATGCAATTTAGTGGCATACTGTGTCAGAATAAAAAATAGAAAGGACTGGGAATGTGGCTCCATAGTTAAGCACCCTGGGTTCAATCCCTGGTACCAAAAAAAAAAAAAAAAGTGCTGGTCTCTGATCTCTCAGTGGCCTGGCTGCTCCAGTTGCATCATCTGGGCATCTGCTGGATCGCTGAGGGCTCCTGGCTTTTCCCTGCACCTGCCTCACCCTCTGCACTTAGGTCTCACTTGATAGTTTGAGAAGGCCTGGCATGGGTCCAGTGGGTCTGGCCTGCTAGGTGGAGGGCAATGCTGGGGTGTGGTCCTCGCCCACAATTGGGTGAAGCCAGTGGTGCTGTCACTGTGTCACTCTGAGCCCTCATTGCTTCTGATTTTCTTTTTTTTTTTTTTTTTGGCGGGGTTGGGGCAGGGATGCTGGGGATTAAATTCAGGGGCACTTGACCACTGAGCCACATCCCCAGTCCTATTTTGTGTTTTATTTAGAGACAGGGACTCACTATGTTGCTTAGTGCCTCACTTCGGCTGAGGCTGGCTTTGAACTTACCATCCTCCCGTCTCAGCCTCCTGCGCCACTGGGATTTACAGGCATGCGCCACTGCACCTAGCTTGCTTCTGATTTCTATTGCTTATAGCAGACTCAGTCTTACTTTACTTCTTGTGGATGCTGGGGAAGGAAACCAAGGCCTTATGCATGCTAAGCACGTGTTCTACCACTGAGTTATACCCCCAGTCCCTCAGTCATACTTTTATATGGGCAAAAATTTTACATTTTAAACTCCTTATTCAAGGCTAATTGTATATTATGTTAAATCACTTGGTTTTGTTCTCATGGCTTCCTGCTTGTTGTAGACATAATTGTGAGGAAGTAGAACTTCCTCAGAAACAAGCACACATGGATTCCAGAATAAGAGCAAATTCACTCTAAACACAGGAAAAAACCTGAGGCTTTAATTAAGGGGCTAAATTCATCCCCAAAATGCTTTTGTGGGCACTGATTGCTCAAGCTCATGCGTCACTCATGCGTGAGTGTGAGGAAAGAGGGCCACAGGTTTTCAATTGACATGTATAGACGCCAAAACAGCTGGTACTGGAGCTTAAAATACCCCAGTCTCCAAAGAAGAGACCCACATCCACAAAACATTGACTTCAGGGCTGCCAAGAAGGATGGGCGGCAGCAGAGCTGGAGGGAAGTGGCCATGGGCCTGTGCAATGCTGCTACTGCTGCTCTGGGGGGCCACAGCCACTGCTCTTCCCCTTGAGAGTGGCCCCAGCCGCCAGGACAGCACGGTGAGTACAGTCTCTGCTTGGCCACATGCTAGCCTGTTGCCAGTGCATCTCTTTGCCTGGCACTTTGGCTACCCTGTGGGTTCCCAGCATCTGCATGGCCGAGTGTGTGTGCGCAGGGCAGGGCAGAATGCTGAACTCCAGTGTCCTCAGCTGCCCTATCCCATTCAGACTATTCTCATGACTTCACTTTTCCAGCCCAGGAAGTTTGTCAGAGACCTCGGCATTTCAGGGGGAGCCTCTCTCCTGTGCTGGCTCTGCCTCTGCTAGTCTGATAAGCTGCGAGTGCTCCAGGCCATCTCTTTGCACTCGTGGAGTGGCTCCTGCCTGTATTCTAGAGCCTACTTCTAGAGCCTTCATTTACTTATGTAGCCATATTCTCAGATTAATTGACATCATTACATTTTCCACCATGAGAATTTGTAACTTCATGGGTAATTTATTTCTCTTTTTCCCTTTTTGAAAAAGTTCCAAGAAGAGTTCATAAAGTTGACCATTAAAAATGGATTTTTCTCCACAATTACCAGATGAGTTTCAGACAGGTCATTTATCATCTCTTAGAAGCTTTCAGTGGAATTTGAAAGGTCAGGCTGTGGGTGAAGCTTAGTGGTAGAGCACTTGCCTCCTAAGTGAAAGGCACTGTTTCAATCCGTAGTACTGCCCCTCAAAATAATAAATAAATAAGAGACCACAGTTTAGCATCTCAATCTGATCTGTATCAGAGAAAGATGCCCCAAGGTGGGACAAACTAAATTAGCCTGATTCACCTCAGGCTTCCTAGTTGCCAGTCTTTTGTCTGGGAGGTGTTAGGGAGGTTGTGGTGACACATTTCCCCACCCCTCTAATTAAGCACCTCAGCAAAGATTATGGGACAGAACTAGCAGGTTTTTTCCTTGTCTGACAATTATTGACTTTACTCTAATTAGAGCAATTTTTTAAAGGTATTCTCTTAACTTTCTCATCCTTTATTTCTTTGTRGTGCTAGAACCCAGGGCTCTGTGCCTTTCTCACCCTTTGAATACAAATGTGATTTGTGTTAAGGAGCATCTTTTCTTTCTTTTTTTTTTAAGTGAGAATTCACATACCCTTTAATGCCACTGAACCCGATGGTTGATTTTTCTTTCCTTTGTCATCTGCTTCTCTTTGAAAGCATATGCAAGAAGTGGCAGAAATAAAGAAAAATGGCCTCCTGACTTTCCTTGCTTGGTGGCATGAGTGGACTTCTCAGGCCAGTCCTGGAGCCCTTACTGGAGGGGATGCCAGTGAGGTTTCCAAACGGCAGGAAGGCCCACCCCTTCAGCAGCCCCGTCGCCAAGATAAAACGCCCTGCAAGAACTTCTTCTGGAAGACCTTCTCCTCCTGCAAATGAACCACCCAGGATTACTTACTTATGTAAAGTGTAATGGTGGACCCAAATAAAGTGTATTAAGCAGCAGGGTTCTTTCTTTGTGAGGCAGTTTCTTCTTCCCTCTTTATTCAAAAAGTATTTTTCAGCTTCTTGGGAACTTAGACAGAAAAATAGCAAGTTGGAGGTAAGCCTGTGCGTCGTCTTGGCATGACCTTGTCTCAAAATTAGAAAGAGAAAATTTCAATGATACCCAATACTGAAAGTATTTAAAGCAGTAATTGGGAACCCAATTGAATACTGTATGGGTAAGTGTTGCTGAGGATTCAACTTTGGCATTCTACCAACTGAGCTACATCCCCTGCCTTTTTTTTTTTTTTT